TGTTTTTAAAACGTAACACAGAAAATGAAAATGGACTAAATATTTGGCGTTGATTTGAATATTTATGTTTGTCATGATCATAAAACGCTGTAGTAAAATGACAGATGAGTGCAATAAAATTTTTATTGCACTATTGCAATAAAGAACCAGTTTTTTCACTAAATATAGTTCAATAAAGTTTTGCTTTTTGCATGAACGTAGAAAAAACATATTTTTAATCAATGCAACAAGTTAAATTTTTATTTTTTATTATAACATACATCCACTTATCCAAATCAACTTCTGTATTAAACAAAGCAATATAGACTGAACTAATAACTATCAAATAGCAGTCTTGTCTAAATCAGTACACAACAATGTTAAACATACTATTTTGTCCTACAATCAACATCTTAATATGTCGTTTGTACTCTAAAAAACTTTTATCAGTAACAACATAATATTGAAAAATAATATTATTGGCTTTATAGCTTATAATGAAATTAGTCTTAAACAAAATATAAACCCTAACTTAGTTCTCAAACACAGGTATAGCTGACTTGAAAAAATAAAATATTCTTTTTTCTTTTAGGACAATATCGGGGCTTGGTAACTTTTGAGTTATTTGTTCAAAAGTTACATCTGAAATATATTTTTCGTCAATTCTGAAGGTTTGACCCTTGTCATCACAAATTTTGAAAAAAGTTACGGTTAGTTCTTCTTCTTTATTGTCTATCTGATTTATTATAGATACATAACGATATTCCGTGTTTCTGACAGGAAACTTAACTAAAACGTAATCACCGATTTTATATTGGTTGATTGAACTAGGTCCGGCAATATTATCAAAATCATTAGTGAACTTATCAATAATCTGTGACATGTCTATCTCTAAAATAGTCTCACTAATATTATTATCTTGTTGGTCAAAACTTATGTTTTATATTGGTGTTCAGAGTAAATATCCTCTACAATAAGTTTTGGCTTTTCTTTGAACTCCAATAATCCTAAATTGAAATGGTGGCATTCGTTGTCGCAAAAATAGCTCAAAGTTTTTATTATAAGCTTGGTAGCGCCGTGTGGTAATCCCAAAGGACATCTTTTTATGTTTTCCTTTATTTGATGTGTTTTGAGGGTACCAATGAAACTTTTCTTAGCTACATCTTTTTGAACATCACTGGTCATTTTCCGAATGTTTTCGTCGTCGATTGTAAATATAATAATTCCAGCTGTTAAATACAGGGTGTCCAAATGCAAAGTAGCCCATTTCCAGAGCTTATAACTTTTAAAAACGTACGGTTTTTGCTGATATATGTTATTTTGCTATAAGGTTTGCTTCGGTGAAACAAAAATTATGTATTACTTATAACGGGTGTTTTTTAAGAATCTCCTCTTTTAAATTCACCGTAACCAAATTTTATCAAATGGAAACTGGCTACTTTTCATTTTGACACCCTGTATATTTGCCACATTTTTTATCTTTTTCTGTAATATTTTCATCATCAAATATTTTTTCTATATCTAACGTTTTATTGCTTTTATTGATTTGTTTAATTGTATTCCACAACCCACTTAAATTATTTTTATGTTTAAGTATGTATTTCTTTTTGGTAATAGTTTTTCTTCGCTTCTGCTATCAATTTCGTTAATTCATTTATATATTTTACAAAAGTACTTTTTAGTTCCATATTATTAAAATTTTGTTTGTAGGATCTATATAATTTATTTCTTCTTTTAAATAAACTAAGAATCAGTTGAGTTATTCATAAATTTCTTTTAATTTCATTTCTTTTTGGTTTTATTAATTTAGTATTTTCATTTAAGAGTTTTTTTAAATCACTTATGAAAATCTCTGTGATATTTTCTACATCCAGTGAGTTGTGCCTATAGCTCCAATCATACAGTTCATCAAATTTCTAGAGGTTTTCGACCGCTAGACAGAGAAAGCACTACTGACAGGCATCCCGACGGATTTACGCAATGAAAGTACACTCTGCGCATCAAGTATTTCACTATTTCATTCGGACGTAAATGTCAGATGTAAATTTCGCTAAAACATTTCTTTTATTTTCCTTTGTGTTTTTTGCTCATTACAGTTTAATAGAACCTAAGTATGGAGTTTAATAGCAAATTAAGAGGCCGCGTGATTAACAGTCAATCTCGCGAAATAATAGCCAATGTTATAGAGTTTATGAGAAGAGAAGGAAACTTTAATTCACCTTCAATACCATTTAAAAATGTAAATGATCGTGTTGCTGCAGCCACAGGAGTATCTAAAAACACTGTCGTCCGCATTTCTGGAGAGAAAAAAAGAATCGATAACCGTGAGATATCGGAATTTTCATCACCAAGAAAAACCATTAAAAAACCAAAAACAGTTAATGATATAGATGAAGCTGCACAAGAATCAAATTTTATTTTTTTATTATTAGATAGCTATTTTTGTTTCTGAGTTGTGTTCATTTACAGGCTCAATTTTTTTCCGTTTCTCCTTTTTGATTTTATATAGGGTTTCAAGTTGTTTTTGACTTATTTCGACGTAAATCACAACAACACACTTTTTTAATAAAGCAAACAAGTGTTAAGAGGTATATGTACGTGTAAACGACAATTACAAAAAATTGATATGAAACCCATGAAACCACCAACAAAAATGTAAAGCTAGCTTCCGTACTAGAACATGGTGTCATTCGTCGAGATAATTTATCGTTTTAATAGATCAAGAAATGTAAATATTCCCCTGTTATTTTTTATAAAATTATAAGAGAAATAATTTTTTTTCCAAATAGTATAGTTTATTATTTTGTAGAAAAACAAAATTTCGAAAATTTTACTAATGTTTCAGAAACAACCGTTATTAATAATAGGTACCATTTTCCTTAATAAGGTAGAAATAAAATTTAAACTATTTCCACGATTTACAAAGGCCTACAAAAAAATTATAGGTATTTTCCGATATCCTATAAAATTTATATTTTCTGACTCAATTTCAAAAGTTTGAAGGAATTCCAAAACACCTTTTATGGCATAATAATTATTTTCAATTCTACATACTATCTTTAGCTGCTTTTAAAAACGTTCTAGGAAAGTCCAATCAGACCACTTTAATCCCTAAACTATTCCACACTTTTAAAATTTAATTACCTAAAAATATTAAAAACTATTTAAAATAACTTGTTTAGCAGACTGTACAATAGCTGTCTTAGTCACACGTAGCGCGTTCTCTGTCTGGGCGTCGAACACCTCTAGAAATTTGATGAACTGTAAGTTCGTCAAATGTATATAATTTTTTTTATTATTTATTTGTGTTATCATGCGTTCATGTGTGTTTTTAACTATTTTAGTTGGAAGAGTAATGAAGGTAGGTCTGTGGTCAGTCACATTAAGATCCAATTTGTTTTGGAATCAAGAATACCTTTGGCAAATATATGATCTATACAACTCTTTGTTTCACCCTGGATACGAGTATTTTATTATTAAAAGAGATAAAGTCGTTTTCACTAAGGAAGTCCAAATATTCTGATGAAATTTCGTTTTCCACCTCGATGTTTATATTAATGTCCCCTGCTATAATGTGATATTTTGCTTGGACATTTCTAGTTTCTGTTAAGAAATTTCTTAATCCTTCAATGAATATGGCTTCATTCGTCGATGGGATTTATACAAGACAGTCACCAATGTGGAGTTTTTGTATTCATCAATTATTTCAATTTGTAGTGATTTAAATATGTCGATGGGAACAATTTTCCATGAGTACTTCAACAGTTTCTTGATATATACAACAACTTCATCATTCCTATTTAAATCACCCTCATTGTATAAAATATCATATCCGGGTAGACTAAACAGCGAAGTTGTTAGAATTTTTAAAGTTTCAGACATATACAATATATTCGACGGTTAAGATGTGATACCTCGTATCTTCATTTTTAGTGTATATGAGTTAAGGTAATAAAAATTTTCAAAAAAAATCGCTTCATTTGCTCAATAATACCACGTAAGTGTATTTATACTTGAATCCGAACTAAACAACCTGTAGTGATATCTGGTAACTGCGTTGCTAACATAATTTTGTGAGAACTGGTATATTATGTCAGTTGAGTGTGTTGATATTGTAACAGAACGTGGTTGCTGCCGGTAAGTACGCCTTTTTTATGATTTTTTTTAGTAGTAAGTCAATTGTTTTGTAATAAATACTTTAAAAAACAATATCTTAGGTTGTCTTTTAAGGGCTTATAGCATAAATTCCTAATTTACGTAAGTTTTAAGCCCTATTTTTTTATATGTAGATACTAGATACTACTATCAATTTGTTTTTATTCACTCTTAAAGTTACGAGTTGTCACCTTAAGTCACCTTAATGTTAAGATACAAATCAGGATTTTTAATGATGTTCTCTTATTGTTTCAGATCAAACAAAAACTTTTAAGATGGAAGATAAATAAAAATATTCGTCCCGAACTCGGAAAATATTTGAAATGCTTAGTGCGAATAACACAAAAAGCACTACTGTATCAAACAAACAGGATGCATTGTCTTTAAATTTAGAAAAATGTACATGATACGACGAACTTAGACAAGAAATATCTGCTAGTCCTTTAATCGATAAACAATGTCAACCTGCACTTAGTTTATATGTACATGACGACTTGGCTACATCCAAAAATTTGGAAGAAGAAGATGTTTTTAAAAATGCTCCCGAAGGAACCTCTTTAGCACTGATGAGTGATTCCTCCTTAAATATCAGCACCGGTAATAATAATAATAATATTATCGACATAATATTAAATAACATGACTGACGATACTCAAAATGATTTACTACTATTAGACCTGGAAGATGACAAACGAATAACAAAATATTTTGAGTTTAATGATGTTCTACAATTCACAAATAACATCGATCCTGAAGAGGAAGTTGGGCAACATAGCCAATCAACAAAATAAAATTCTAATACGCAAGCACCAGAAACAGAAGAACATTCCGATGCTGTCATTTTAAAAAGTAGGAAAAGGAAAGGTATGGCAACGGAAAAGAAGTGGATTGACTTTAAGAACAAAAAATTAAGACAAGAAGGAAAGGCATACGTTGGTTGGAGCAGACCGAAAAATACGCCAACAAAGAGAGAAACAAAAAGAGAAGAAAGAAAAATAGGGCCACGCTATGGTTCAACCTTGTGTAAGAAGTCCAAGACTCGCAAATGTCACACAATTTCAGAAGAGAACAAACAAGAACTCTTTAAAAAGTTTTGGTCAGATATGAGCTGGGACCAGAAAAAGGTGTACATTGCTTCTCTTGTTCTTAAAAGTGTAACAGCAAGATCGACTAAAGGTGCAGGTGAGAAGTCTCGACGTTCTAGTAGCTTAAAATACACAATAAAGAATGTCAACGGAAAAATTTTACCTGTATGTAAACCATTTTTCCTTTCAACCTTTGCACTAAATGAATGGACTGCTTCTAATTGGGTGTCTCATTCTCAATCCGGCATACTTTCATCCCAAGAGAGTGTTAATGCTTCTAAAAGAAAAATAAGAGCGCAGGACACAAGTTTAGTCAGACTAACTAAACAATACCTGTAAGAATTTTAAGATTTATTTCCAAAATTACCCTCTCACTATTGTAGAAAATCAACTAGAAAAGTTTATATTGAGCCGATTTATGGGTATTCTATGACATCGGTTTACAGAGAATATTCTAAGATGTGCAGTGAAAAAAATCCTACAGTGAAGCCAGTTTCTAGATTTACTTTTGACTATATGATCAAAGAAAAAAATATTTCATTTCAACAGCCAAAAAAGGATAAATGCGATATCTGCTGCGGCTACGAAACAAAAAATATAAGTGATACTGATTATCAAAATCACGTCCAGAAAAAAACAGTTGGCAAGAGAAGAAAAGGTCAAGGACAAATTGATGGGTCAACAAGGTGAAGCAATTGTTTTGACACAGGATGTTCAATCAGTTAAAGTTTGTCCCTTTTTGAACGCCTTTGCCCTGTATTTTAAAACCAAACTACTTTGCCATAATTTTACGATTTTCAACATAACCACACATCATTGCTGCTGCTGCTACTGGTACAACGAGTGTAAAGCAGTTTAACTGTCAATACCTTTACAAGTTGCATAGTTGATTATATTCTTGGCCTGGAAGATATTTCAAAACTTTTAGTTATTTGGAGCGACGGATGTGAATATCAAAATAAAAATGCAGTCTTGTCTAATGCCTTATTAAGTTTAAGTGTCCACAAAAATATTTGTATTTATCAGAAATATTTAGAGAAGGGACACACCCAAATGCAGGCGGATTCGGTTCACGCGCTAATCGAAAGAAAGCTAAAAAATAAGTCAATTCATTTGCCTAGTGACTACTGCAGAATCACTGAAGAAGCCAGACAAAAAGAACCCTATAAAGTTAAAAACATCTCTCATGATTTCGTCAAAGACTACTCCCAAAATCAAAAGTTTGTTTCCATTAGGCCTGGCAAGAAAGTAAATGATCCGACAGCTAATGATAATAAAGTCATAAAATATAGTCCAGATGGCAGTATTCAAGTTAAACTTGGCTTTGACAAAGAATTTGAGAACCTTCCAGGAAGAAAAAAAGATAATAAATCTGTTTCTGACCTCAAGACGTTTCCACAATTGAGAAGCAAACCATCAAAAATTAAAAAAACAAAAATGGGACCATCTTCAACATTTGAAGGCTGTGCTTCCTAAAGACTGTCACTCTTTTTATGATAACTTGCCCCATTTGGGATAATAAAAAGAATACCTTTCTTGCTATTATTTTGTTAAATTCTCGTTTTATATTTTTTAATTTGAGTTCAACATTAAGAAACAATGGAATAATTGTTTTTTGTGTAGTATTTCTTAAAATAAAATAAAGAATATTTTTGTAAAAATGGTTTAATTTTGCACCTTTCACTTTAAAGAATGATTTTACGTAACTACATTTTTATAAAATTTTTAAAACGTGATACCTCGTATGTGCATTTAAAAAAATTAAATCGTGTCAATGCTTAATTGTCAGTTAAGAATAATATAATTTGATGTAATAGAAAAATATTTCAGTTGTAAATCATCCAGTGTAAAAAAAAGTTTTTATACAGTTTTACTCCTCTCCTGAAAAGTTGCGTTTTAACACTTACGAGGAATCACATCTTAAGCGTCAAATGTTATTGTCTAACATCTTGGTATCGTTAAATAGGTAAATTTATAAGAAATAAAATAATAATTTGAAAAAGTTGGGTAAATTAAATTTAAAATTAGCCATATTTAAGACATGTTTCAAAACACTCTGTTGTAACGGTTGGAACCGTTATTCGTTATTTTGACACATTCACCTCTACTCAAATGTCATTTGTCGTCTTCATCTTTTTTTATTTGCCTTGTGTCAAAAGTTTGTATTTCATTTGATTTGAATTTGTCAACGAATCAAGTTGATTTTAATTTTTAATATATCTTAGTCATCTAATGTACTAATTGATTTTTAATATTCTTATTGGCCGTCTGATTTTATAAGGTAAGTTTTAATATTAATATATTGTTAAATATATATTTTTTATACAAGGATTTTTTAAAAAATTATCTAGTTACGACATAACCTCAATACCTATCAACGATAAGTAAGACACATGGATAATTTATGTAATATTTTTTTTTTGGAATAAGATATTATGCTTTACTATGTTTAAATATGTTAAATAAGATTTTCCTTTTCATATTAATTGTAGCCTTTGTGAAATTATTCACTTAATAGTTTTAAATTGTTCATTTATTAGTTAATAACATTTTATCTAAATCCTGTTCCAATTTCCTATTTCCTGTCTTAACATTTTAACTTTTTCTTTTTAGCATTGGCTATATCTAGACGGTTTATGGAGATTTGTATCTTAACGGTTTATTTGGATCTATATCAAAAAGTTTATGGACATTTATATCTAGACGGTTTATTTGGATCTATATCTAGACAGTTTATGTAGATTTATATCTAGAAGTTTTATGGTTTTTATACCTAGAAGTTTGATACAATCTGAAGACCGTGGTTTGGTTCGTCGGTAGAAGATCCAGAATTAAGAATAAGGATACCGAATACCTTTGAAGAAGGCCCGAAGAATACCATGAAATAACATTCCTTATATTACCTAATTTAAACAAAAGGTAAGTGTGCTTTTAAATAAATCATCTAAATTTTAATTTAGTAAAACTGTAATAATTGGCATTATTATTAATTGAAAAAATCTAAAGAATTTACCAAAAATTCTAAACAAGTATTTAATGTTTAAATTAAATAATTAAAAAGACACAATGAAACAAACCTTCAATTTATTAATCTACATTGAACGTAACATTGTTAAATACAATCAACAGTCACATAAATTTTGGTTTATATAGAAAGGATCACTTGGGTAAACGCTCAGTCGGGTTCGAACTAAGGTCCAGAACTTTCGCCCCTTGGGTGAAACCCTGGTTTTGTATTGTAAAGTGTAGAGTATAGGTTTTGTGTACTAATGGGTAAATATTTTAACTTAATTTTACAGTAATTTTGTTTAATAATAATTGATTAATTGATTTACATATAAATGCCAATTTTACATTTTCGTCCCGAATTATATTTTATGCATATCTTTATTACTATTAGGTATTCCCTAAATGGAATTTTATTCATTTTTTCTGAAGACTATTTGTCAAGTTTTATATTTATTGTTAATATACATTTGTTAATGTTTTAATACTTATTATTAATCTCTTCTCCCTTCCCAAACCAGCAAAATACTCCGAGCATTTGAGAAGCCTCGGCGTTTCTATTCCCTTAGGACTAAAAGTGTCTAAAACTAGTTGCCAAAAACCGCTCGACATATGCTATTAAGGGATGTTTTTTTTGTATTTTATTATTTTTTCTTTATTATTTTCTTTTGCCACTGGCAAATGGATATTCCTTTAGGACTCCAGGACCCTTAGGCTGGTGACAACGCTGCCCTAATCCCTTAATAGTATAATAACAACAATAGCTAAAGACCTATCAGTAGTTACAAATGGTCTTTAGGCTAACTGGTTGTTACAAAACTATGTGAATTAGAATTTGCTGCTGCCTTATCTAACACTTGGTTTAAATATAATTTGTTACAGGTTAGTGATTTTCTATATTTTTATTACTAATCAGTCAAGTAAAGTAAGTTTTAAATATAGTGGTGCCCAACTTCTTTTTCAAAGTAATTCGAGTTATTTAATAACCTGACCCAAGCCCAAAATCAATGGAGCTTAAACACACTATAACAAATAGATAAAATATTAAGTATCAAGTTACACTGTATAGAATACACCAGTTATATGAGCACTATCCGTTAGCTTGATATCTGTATAATAAACAATTTTGAAACCAATTTAAACCTACCTAAATTAAGATAATTAATTTTGAGGTCTGCATGATTTTCTAATTTTATAAAAAAATTTATTGTTTGGTAACCCTACAATATTAAAAAAGAAAAATAAGGGTTGAATAAAGTATTACCAAACCATTCTAAAACTGAAATAAAATACAGCGTGTTTAATTTAAAAAATAAAAATTTTTATTTGTCTGTCAAAAATGCAACACCCTGTATATCCCTAAATATTTTTAAAATACGTATTTTCTAAATTCATATAACTTTTATTTGTGTAAATTAAAGTGTGCATGTCTATAACACAAATTAAAATATTGAACAATTACACACGAATGGGACACCCTGTATGAACACATTACAATAAATTATTATGTTTTTTTATTTGTCAATGAAATGAATAAAGCTATGTATATGCAACTAAAAATATAAGAAAGAAATATGATTGCCTATATTGTCAGTAGTTTTTTACCAAAAATTCACTTTTTTTTTAAATAGCACCTATTTAGGGCCATTTCGCCTCTGGATGAAAAATTTTAGTACCAAACGGACAATATGCACAAAGCATTATTTAGAAAATAATTTTCCAGTTCACGGCCTTTTATACCGAAAAATTTTTTGGGGTAAAATAAAAATTTGCAACACTGTCATAAGTATTTATTCAAAAAATAAAACCCAATAGAATTTCCGGTAAAATCAGAAAACAACCATTTTATTTAGGTATAAATGTTAATTGGAAATCATTTTTGCTATTTTTGTTCCAAATTATATTCAAATTGCTTTATAAATAAAAAATATTTACTATAACGTGGCTGTAGGCTCTTTTGCACTCGGTATATCGTAAAAAAAAACTGTATCGTAATGAATATAAATATGTTAGTTTTCTGTAAGCGAAAAAAAAAACAAATTGTAGGTATATTATATGTTTAGTTTTCATTTTGTTATTCTTATTTAATTCGACATTTGCCTTCGCAAGAGATCAATTTGATAATGGAACCATCTGGCAAATTGCCGCTGCATTCGCGTGTACGAGTAGAGGCAAAGTTTCCGTGCGTTGTGCAATAAAAATCTAATAAAATTAGTTTAATTAAATACATCAAAATCATCCTGCACAGTTTAAAGGTAAACCATTAGAGGTCAGTAATTCTATTTTTATAGAAAATCGTTTAGAAATACCAATATAATTTAGAAAAATTATATGTGAGGTAATAATCAAACATTTTATAAACGATTGATTTTATACAGGATTTATTAAAAGTTTCTTCATTATATTTAATATATTGTTTGGATATAGGTAAAACTCACGATACACAAATACTGGTATAGTTCCGCCACTGATTTGAACGTGATAAGATCGCTCGAGTCTTTGTGAACGGTTTTTAGTGTTTTTCGAAGTGAATAATACAGTTTGTTTTTTCTTTGAATTCTTAAACACAAACTTTTTGGTGTTGTGCATCGAACAGTGCAATTCTCTTTTGGAGTCAAGCAGGAAAAGTTCGTTTCGACTTGATTATCGACATATTCTTCATTATATTATAAACGCTTTGCAGCGCTTATCTCTTAATTTTTTAGGTTTTGTATGAATATCGATAAAACCCAGTTCAACGATCTCGTTTTATCAGACATTTTTCTGGCAACCAGTATTACAGACATGCTGTTTATCTGGTTATCAGCTAGAAGGCACTTTAATAATTAATAATACACCCATTCCTGCTGCTTTTGACTACAAGGGTGGCAACTCTAGTCAACCTTCCCCTAATGTAACCATCAATAAAATGATAGAAAGCAACAATAATGTACCTTCGGGCTCTTATGTAACAGCTGCAAAATCAAGACCTAAACCAGTCTTTCCAAAAAAGGAACAAGCAATAGTTATCCATTCATACCAGAATCTCGTTCTTTTCGATTATGTTAAGGCTATTGGTGATCTAATCAGTCTAAAAAATATTTGCTTTGCCTCAAAAATTTCAAACAACAGAATTTGTATCTATCTATCAAAAACTGAGCTAGTCGACCAATTCATAAGGGATCACCCAACCATATACGTAAACTCATTGGCTTTACCAATAAGAAGATTAGTTACTCCAGCGAAGCGAATATTAATATCGAATGTATGCCCCTCAATACCTGATGAACTAGTTGAAAAAGCTTTAATTGATTTTGGACTTCATCTAGTTTCACCCATATCTTTCCTGAAAGCAGGCATCCCAGAAGATGAATATGCACACATCATGAGCTTCAGACGGCAGGTTTATGTCACCCCAACTAACGACAACTTTGAGCTTCAAACATCTTTGCTATTAACACACGATAACACTGCATACAGAATTTTTTTGT